TACTATATTCCTGTATAACACAACCAGTTTTGTCTCGGGAGTTTAGCTACGTAAAACCGAGTAGATTGTTGAGACACCTACACATCACGCGAATTATATAATTTCACCTTAATAACCTGTTATAAGGAAAAAAAGAATTCCGAATTACTTGAAACAAACAAATGGGAGTCGAAGTTAATAGTTCGCCAGTTATATTTACATATCCTCATTACATTTAACTTTAGCTTCTGAGACTAAGGTTGAGAAAAACAGTCGGTGTCTTTTGACTTTTTAATGCATATGAGGAATCTAGTACCGGGTCTAGTTCCAGAACAAATCAATGAAAACGGGCTTGAAAGTTCAAAAGAACTGTTTCAAGTATCTAAAAGGAACCGAATTATCAATGTCGGCTATTAATCTTCACAGTCGTCATTAAAAGGTTTTAGCATGTGTTTCTAATTTTAGAATTTTCTCACGCGAGCGATTCCTTTATATTCAATAACTCTCAGCTCCAGTTATAAACAGATTTCCATTAAACTTTGGTGTTTAATTTAGTCTACAAAAGAGAAGGGAAGGAAGTCCTTGCTTTAGAAATATAGAAGCTAGACTATATATAGACTCGATTCCTGTTACATTCGTTTTGATATGAAGACATACATCCTGCCAACTATCCACACATGCATACATTTTTATCACATAAACGTTATTTTTAGTGGATACTCATATTTAAGTAGACGCTCCATTTATTTATTAAACAGTATGTACTTATTTATTTTCGCCTGCCGGCCTGAATTTTCAAGAAATCCTATTAAAGAAAAATATGCACCCTCCGGCATTTTCATCAGATTTCTCGAATATTCAGGCCGGCAGACGAAAATAAATAAGTACATACTATTTAATAAATAAATAGAGCGTCTACTTAAATATGAGTATCCAGTAACAATAACGTTTAAAGTGATAAAAATCTGGCGGATTGAAAAATAAAAATTCATTACAGAAAACATACTTACATACATAATGGTTGGCCTCTCTTATCTGAGGATGTCCGTCCACTAGGGCAGTTAGCCAATCCCTATTGCAGACGCATGCTCAGGTATATTTTGTGTTTGTTCAACATCCACAGAACTATGCTGAGCGGACTTTAGTTACAGTTTCTGGGAGAGAACGCGTTATCTAGTGTGATCAACAATTTGAACAAGGCAAACATGCCTCGGTCACGATGACTTATGACTTCGTGCTAGAACAACCATCGGTCAAAGAGACCCATCTGCCAAATTTCACTCACAAGATATAGTTTTCAGGGACATTTCAAAGGCGCCGCACGCTAGGATCGCCTCCCCCAGGTTGATAATATCAAAAAGTCACCTTACTGACAAATTGACCATAGTGAGGTTCGAACACAGGTCTTATGGGTCAGAAAGTGAATGTTCTAACCACTCGAACACGTGCCGTGCCCTGCCCTTATGTGCCCTGACCTGAGCTTACCTTACTATGACAAAGTGGAAAATTCCGTCTAATGTGTTTCATCCTCAAAAAAGACAAAACAAATTAAACTTCACTTTGTCATTCAATTGCCTAAGATGTACAAAATCTTGTGTATCGTATTCTTCCATATTTGTATAGCATTTTATGTGTGTGCCCTCTCTCTCTCCTCTCTCTCTCTCTCTCTATCTATCTTTCTCTCTCTCTCTCTCTCTCTCTCTCACACACACACACACACACACACACACACACACACATATATACATATATATAACGAAGGTATACAAATTCATGAAAAAACTGTATTCAGGATTAATTCCAGCAAAGTCTGTTATCACTAAGGAAGACAAAGGGTAACTAAACATGTACCATTAATTCCAAGAATGTAGAGATACCTACAATTTATGAATTTAAGCGCAGGACTAGATTGGTGGCAGGGTCTTGTCATTTTACTTTTGAAATAGGGAGATGTAATCGCAAGTTCTATGCTAACAGTTTCTTCTCTCTCACTTCTCACTCTTGGAACTCTCTTCCAGATTCTTGTTTCCCAATCAACTTTGATCTTCAAAAAATTAAATGCAATGTCAATCGTTATCTTCTGTCTTTTTCATTCCATTTCTTTTATTGTCCTTTGTCATTAATAGTAATTTTTCACACTCAGTAACCCCTAACGTCTTAGTGGCTTTATTGCCTTGATTGGGATGAAATGGTTAAAAATCAATTGAAAAAAATATAAAAATCTCGAATGGAATTTATCTGAAATTCTGCGTCGTACATTAAGATTCAAACGATGATAAGTAAATGAAGATGTGTGAAACGCATTTCTTTTGAATAAATGTAATGTTTTTATTTACTTATCAATTAAGGAATCAATCTATAAATTGAAAGTTATCATGAGATTGACCATTACTCTTAAAAACGAAGTTTTTTTTTTTCAAATGGCACTAAACTGAATCCGACCAGATAAAACTGTTCATGTGATTGGCCAGTCGACTATTTTATGAAATAATGACTTGTATTAAAGTTGAATCGAGCTTCGTTGATTTGTCAAAGTTGATTTTATAAAATAAAATAAACTTTGAACAATTAGCTACAACATTTACAATTTACATTTTCTCAACAAAGTTTTTCTATGCAAATATACATGTGTATCTTATAATTTTGCCTAAGATTTTGATTAATAAAATATTAATATTTGAAATTTATGGCTTTTAACAAAAAGAAATAGTTTACTGGGTTAATTAATGTGTAGTTGCTGGCTTGTCTAAAGGCGGTAAAGGATGTAGCCGCAGTTCGTTCTTGAGTTTGGTGACTTAGGCTTTTTAGGTTGGCATTTCCAGGTCAACCACCGGTGAACTGCGTGTTGAATAGCTTATTACTATACTTTCCTTTTATAATACCTTTTTTTTTAAAAAAAATTATTTCAACTGTGTTTGCTTACGATTTTTATATTACACATTTTAATCATTTTCCATCAAGGAAGGTGATGAAGCCAATGAAAGAAACAGAGAAAACGTTATTGAGAAGAAAGGACAATAAAAACAGGATTCTAACAGACAGATGATAACTGACGTTTCATTTAAATTTTTGAATTTCGTAGTTGTCAAGAAATAAAGAAGCTGGAAGAACTTTCCACAGGCGAGAAGTGCTAGAGAAGAAACTATTAGAATAGAACTTACGGTTACATCAAGCTATTTCAACAGTAAAATGATGAGACCTAGTTGCCAGTCTAGTACTGCGCTTAAATTTATGAAATCGAAGCAAAACAATTACCATGAAAATATTTATAGAAATGGCAGAGGGAAGCTATGTTACGGTGGTGATATAGTGATTAATGATGAGATTGCAGGTCAGGACAAATAACATTCTAGATATTTTTGATTTTGTCAAACATCTCTAGAAACATAAATAACTGATCTACTTTCTGTGTGCTAAATTTTATTCTTTGTATGTCAGCTAAGGAGAATTCAATAGAATAGTCGTACTACGAAAATAAATAAGATACCAGTTCATTTCAATAAGGTTGATTGGGAGTTCATTATTTAAACCTCAAAGTGAAATCAGATGTGACCCTTTTCTATCGTTCCCGTTTTTGAATACACAATTCTATTTGGTTAGTGTAAAGTTTTCTAACAGTGGTTTTCTGCATAAAGCTAGGAAACATGTTCTAAGTTTACTTGGCTCTTTGTTATTTGTGCTTACATATTCTTAAAGTATTCTGGAGACGTGATAGTTTTACTTTGCTTTTGAGGAGTGTTTAATTTATTCTACAAAAGAGCAAGGGAAGGAATTCTTTACTTCAGAAATGATATGCCCTATTCTTGTTACACCCGTTTTGATATGTAAGCATGCATCCAGCCAGCTATCCACATATACATACATATTCGATAATTGAATGAAAAAGTGGAAAAATTCCGTCTAATATATTTAATACTCTAAAAGGATTTAATGAGAAATAATTCTGGGTATGACGATAAACTACATCCAGTAGCAAGGGCTCTGATCGGGAGATTGGAGGTTTTCAGGAACGTGGATCCACCTCTTAATTGCTGTTGTTTCCAGATTCACCCTTACAAATGGTGAACCTCACAAAAAAAAAAAAAAAAAATCAACTGTTGATTTTTATAGTAAGATGACCAACAATACATTTGCTTAGTAAAATGACCAGCAATACATTTTTATAAAAAAATGACCAACAATACATTTTAGTGATATTACCAGCAACACATTTTATGATCTACAAACTATATATTAAAAAAATACCTTTTCCTCTAAAAGTATAAAATGATGTACAAAATATTTAGATTTCGACATTAAATAACCCATAAAGGTGTTGATGTACCGCTTATTTTATAAAAATACTTTTTTGTAGTAAAATTTCAGCAGTACACATTTATATATAAAAATTTACCAACAATACATATTTATATTAAAATTACTAACAATACGCACATACTAACAAAATGAAGAGGGCTAGAAGAATCTCGTTAGAACAATTACGATTGAGTAGTGAGTTCGAATCCACTGGGTCCCCAATACTTTCACCCTTGTGCCACATCTAAGCCAGGATAACAAATTGTAGCGATTTCACCCAAATCCGTTTAAAATGCTACCAAACAACCAACATAAAAGAACTCTTTCATGACATTGAGCGACATACTATCCAACAATTTATCAAGAGATCAAACTGTATTCCAAATTATAACTTCAACAAAACTACAACATAAAAACCCATCACCGCCTCTATTAATTATATTTGCACAAACATGTATATGCACAAAAGCTGAGTATCATCTACCATGTATACAACTGTGAAAGCAGAATAACATATCATATTTTTATTACTTCAAAGCTCCCAAGAAAATTATATTTCAATATTAAATGACCCATAAACTGTTGATATGCCGTTAAACAGATAAATCAGACTAAAGTAGATATCCTTAGAGGAGGTCATCTTGGAGGACGAAACGACTTATACAACATGACTCAGTTTAAAATATCAAGCTAATACTGTTTGAATTTTATGTTTAAGTTTATTAGTTCTCGTGCGATCACCGAAGTTAAGTAACATCGAGCCTGATCATTACTTAGATGGGTGACCGCTTAAGAATACCAGGTGCTGTAAGCTTGGATCTTTGGATGATATAATGGACAATGATTCGAAATTGTTAATCGGAGAGCCGACTTTATTATATTCACTTACGTGCCAATACCATTGAGAAAGTCATGAAACCTATTCTCCCCGCCCCAGCTATAGGTTAAGTACTAAGATTCGTATCACTAAAACACTATTATCACAAAAAAATTCTTACAACCTAAAAATATTTTCTGGCTTTAAATAATCTGCAAAGTGTTGTAAAGTCGTAGAAAATGAATGAATCAATCAAAATTTTATGTTTAAGTTAGGAAAAATATGAATCCAAAATATTCTAAGACTTACCCAAACTTTTGAATTGGAAATGGTTTGCAAAATTCAGAAAAGTAGATTTTGATCTGAGATTTGGTGAATTGGAGGAATTTTAAGGAATATGCATCACAAAACATGGAAACCTAACGAAGAACACACAATTCAGACAATTTTAATCAGTCTTTTACATGCGTTAGAAAAAAAAAATCAAAAGCTAGGAAGACAGACTCAGTAATAATTTACGCTAACTAAAATAGGTAAATGTTTATATAATAGTATAAATCTCTCCAAGGTTCTCTCCTCGGTCTTATCTTGTTTTTGTTTTTTAATTAGCGATATGCCTAGGAACATTCTCAGATCATTAGTAAACATATACACTGATGATAGTATAAGATATGGGAACTCCTCCAATAATCAAGATATTTTGAGCCTTATAGCTGATCTCTCTGCTGACCTATATCAAAGGGGAAAACTCTCTTGTCAATTTCAGTACCTATATAACCAAACTTGTAACATTTATCATCACCGATGAGCTTCCTACTGTTGCAATGAATGATGGCCCTATCAACCTGGCTCCATGCATTGAACGACTATTGGGATTAAAGTTCACTCCATAACTCAAGTAGAACTCATCCATCGCTAAAAATACTAGAAAGAATTGTTGGCTCCTTGCATCGCTCCAGAATGTAATCGATTCCTTCTTTTATCTTTGTAAATATCAGATTAGACCAAAAATGGAGTATTGCTGCCATGTCTAGGATAGAACTACCCAATCCCCACTTTCCCGTCTTGATTTCAAAATCATTTACGCAATCTTGCAAGGAATGGTGTATTTCATACTCTACAGACTCTTACACATAGATACAATTTTGCAAGCCTATCGCTAGTCTATCGTCATTTCTATGGCAAAGGTTCCAGTGAGCTCCATATTTTATCTCCACTAGTTTAAAGCTTTACAGATAGGACTCGCCATATTACGTACACGGAGTCGAATCACTCATATTTCCTCTGTATTCCATTTGTAAAGAGGAAGATCTCCCCACTCGCGAGAACTGCTACATTACAGATTAAATGTCCTAACGGATGCTTCTCCAAACACTACAATTTAAACTCCATCATGTCAGAGGTCAATCACTATCTATCATCTTTATCTCCATAATTTTCATTTCTTTCTATCTTCTTTTAAGTCAGTAACCCTCTACATAAGGGGCTCTTGAGCCTTGTATTTGGTGACCTTTTAGTATTAAAAGTATCTTATTTAGTAAGGAAACTATCCTTTTTGAATGAGAAAGTTGCATACCATTGATTGGTTTTATTAAAAGAGTGAAAAATATATGAAAATAGTAATTAGACCTAATAAACTTTTCAGCATCTCATGCAAAATAAAAATTATTCGCTTAACAAAATTATTGTCTGCTGGCATTTACAAGAAATTAAGTGACAAAAAGTCATAGACAGCAAGAAATTAGAGAGGCTCTCACTCTTTCATTTGTAGAAATGGACTCAGTCAGACGTATGTGTTAGTAACAGGTAAAAAGGTAATGTAACTGTGACAATTTCGTTGTGGAAGCAATGGGGCATGATTTAACACTGTTTGAATGTGAAATGATTGTTGTGGATAGAAAGATTGGGGATTCTGAGGTGGCAACTATGCGGCCAATAGTATCAAGGAGAGACCAGGAATATTTGAAGTCCAGACAGATGTCCTGGTTAGAAGTCATGTTTACAGATCATTCCAAGAGACTATCGAGTTCGTGTGTGGAGGAGGCCACATGAGGCTGTGGATCCAGTTTGTCAGCAGATATTGTGCAAACTATGGTAGTGATTATGTATTGACAAGTATAGTTTAGACAGCTTTCCTCGTAGGGATTTTTCCCCTTATTTGCTATGATTCTTAGTGGTGAAGATTGGTTCCATCAAGATAATAAAACCCTTTATCGTGAGCAAATAAGACGAAACTGACTTTCAGGTACTATGTGCTCACCAGATTTAAACCCCATTGAGCACTCCGGCATCTCCATGCCACGTCGTGTAGCTCAGGGGAAGGGATAAACTATTATTAGTTGGTGTGCTTTGGTGTGAGGAACTCGCCCCAAAGTTTATCAAAGCATTTTGATATACCCCGTATAAGTGCGTGTTTGTATATATACGCGAAAATATTTATTCGTTTCTGAACGTTTGCAATGATAGATTCATAAAATATCTTCAAGGGATAAATGATTTAGACGACGCATTTTCACTCGCATTTGATGAAAATACAAAAGATTTAAAAATTCGATAACAGACAAAAACAGTGATAACGATTTGAATGTCGCTTCGAGTTGATTGGCAAGAATTTTGCTGATTAAATGGATAAAAAGTTTCTTTGGAGTTAATCAAATAGAAAGCAACAACGGAATTATTCTGTCGTAGAGCGATGATTATTATAAAACAATTGATTATTTCAATGAAGTTTAATCATTAGGATAAATACTGGTTCTTTACTTCGCGACGTTTAAGTGAAACTAACGACATAAAACAGTTTAAATAGAGGAAAATCATTTCACTTGTGTTATCTTTATTATAATGTTTTATTTAGTAATATATATTTCGAATTGCGTCACCAGCAACAACGGGAAATATGATATACAAATATACAAATCTATATATCAAAATGGGAAAACTTCTAAATGACGAGACTTCAGAAGATTTTGCTGCCGAAGGTTGCTATTTTTTCTGCTGTAGACTGGTTGTCAACCAAGGCTATAGAACCCAGTCTGTCTTGCCACCCAACCCATAGCTGGAGGTAGAAGAGATCGATTCATAGCTTTTCCAAGGGTATTTGCGCGTAAGTGAATGTAACAGACCTGAATGGAATTCGAACTCGGCTCTCCGATTTCTTGTTCCGAGATGATGCGAATTACTTCACAACGCACATCTATATAATATAAAAGGGTAACTCTAAAAAAAATCTATATAATATAAAAGGATAATTCACAAAAATGTAAATTTTATGTATTGGTCAACTAGCGTAATCCACTTCAATATCAGAAAAAATGAATGGGGAATTCGATTTTACAATTAGTTTTCGGCGAGGTGTTCTCAATCGATTCCTTTTCATTTATAACGAAGTGGGTAACGTCGTTATATTACAAATTTACAAGCTATGTTTGTGGGATATTTTTAATTTATTTTCTCCAATTTATAAAAGTGTAAAACAAAGAAAAGTAAAGTGTTTTGTGAGAAAAAAAAACAAAACAAAAAAACAACCCCAAAACAAATGGTAATAGGTGATATCTATTTAATAAACAATGGTGACATTTGTTTATAACACAATATTTCCTTTTCCCCTCGAAAAAGAATTCATAATTTTCTAAGGACAAAAGAAAACACTCAGGTTAATTTGAAGATAAAACAAGAAGTACGTGTATCCGTATTTGTGTTAAGAGATTCTCAACTTCTAACAAACGCACATGGTGATAATGTCTAATACTTGAGATGATCTTGAATATATTCGAAGTGATGATAGAAATAAAATATTATTAAAATAAATATTTGTTCATTTTTTTATGATAAGTCATGGTATACATCGATTGTTTTATTTTTTTAAATAAGCGTTCTTTTAACCAGTTACATTTATTAGAAAAGAAAATGGCCCCAATCGTTTATTTTTAGCTCATGGAGGACTTTTGATTGGACCTTCATCCCAATAGTCAGGGAGGATAGCAACAATAAACTACAGAAGAATTCAAAATTGATCGATGAACAAAGTATTGAATTAAAATTTAAGTTTACCTTTTTAAAAGTTCAACGATAATTCTTGGGCCGCCACTTAATTTAAAGACTTTCCGTACAAACAATTATTTTATTTCATGGTTGTATGATTTGTTGGGCAATTAATTTCGATTATTCCTAAATTTACAAGTAAAGTTGAAAAAATTGTTATCGTACAAAAACATTCGTCGCAAAAAAAGTTATAAAAATTCGTCAAAAAAAATGATTATATAACGAAAACTTGGGAATTCAAAATTTCAGGATTTGCTCACGGAATGCCTGATTCCAAAATGGTATGATATTTGGGCTACGGCCTCTTTATGAACGGGGCTGAAAAAAATCTGACACAGTGAGACATTGATTTTCGCAGGTTTATTATATAAATGTCTGATTAGAATGATTATCGTTAAGAACATTCAATACCCTGAATCTGTTAAATTATTTATAACTGGCATGAATAATTCTACTTTATTTTATATTTCCTAACATTTCTTTTTTATGAACGGGGATGTGCCTTTCGAAATTGTAAGAAAGGCATTACGAGTCGCAAGGTTTGTTTTGTTTATCTTTGACTATATTTAGTATCGTCTAATTTCTTCTTTATCATTTATTATTCAAACATTATTTTAACAGCATCTGCCTATAATTCTATTCTTTTATCCTTTCCTTATTTATTTATTTTAACAGCATCTGCCTATAATTCTATTCTTTTATCCTTTCCTTATTTATTTATTTTAACAGCATCTGCCTATAATTCTATTCTTTTACCCTTTCCTTATTTATTTATTTTAACAGCATCTGCCTATAATTCTATTCTTTTACCCTTTCCTTATTTATTTATTTTAACAGCATCTGCCTATAATTCTATTCTTTTATCCTTTCCTTATTTATTTATTTTAACAGCATCTGCCTATAATTCTATTCTTTTACCCTTTCCTTATTTATTTATTTTAACAGCATCTGCCT